AGAATTTGCTTCTCCACATCCAGCCCGAGTAACTGGGCTAGATATTGAATGGGGATAGAACTAGCGTAAAGACTGGCCTGGCCTACCTGGCCCTGGTGCCTCTCCTTCCTCCTCCCAAAAGAGAAAAAAGAACAGATGATCTGCATAGCAGTACAACTGCCATTTCCACCCCCTGCATGTCTACCTCAGCCTCCTCTAAATGGATCAAAACACAGGGCTGTATCTAGACTGGCCTGTTTTTCCGGAAAATCAGCCGCTTTTCTGGAAAAACTTGCCAGCTGTCTACACTGGCCGCTTGAATTTCCACAAAAGCACTGACTTCCTACTGTAAGAAATCAGTGCTTCTTGCGCAAATACTATTCTGCTCCCGTTCAGGCAAAAGTCCCTTTTGCACAAAGCTTTTGTGCAAAAGGGCCAGTGTAGACCGCTCAGATTTGTTTTCCGCAAAAAAGCCCCGATCGCGAAAATGAAGATCGGGGCTTTTTTGCGGAACAGAGCGTCTAGATTGGCATGGACGCTTTTCCGCAAAAAGTGCTTTTGCGGAAAAGCGTCCGTGCCAATCTAGACGCTCTGTTCCAAAAATGCTTTTAACGGAAAACTTTTCCGTTAAAAGCATTTCCGGAAAATCATGCCAATCTAGATGCAGCCAGGGAGTCCCTGAGGAGCTGAGCCCCATGGCTCACAGGAAATTCTCCTGTTTGCATTTTGCACATCAGAAATGCTTGGGTTCTACTGCTAGTAAGCCCTCCTCACCTTCTGAGGGACTTTCTTCCGTTCGAGTGCACTATTCGGTTCTCTTCTCCAACCTGCTGCAGATGGATCAGCCATTAGTTTTTATGATCATTTATATGACAATAGCCCCCTAGCTGTGCTTGGCACTGTGGTGGCATATATGAAGGCATAACCTTTGTCCTGACCGTCATATCATTTTAAAGTTACATTTTGCGAAATCTGACACTGGTGGCAGGCAAGTCCTGGAGAGCGAAGGACTTCTGTTCTTCTACAGAACGTGGGCAGCAGCAGCATGCCCTGATTCTGTCTATGGGGACCATCTCTCGAGGGTAGTTCTTGATGCCTATTAAGTCCTTGGTATAACTGGAGAACAGAAGCTGGAGTGCCAGCTGAGGCTTTCAGTGCCAAAGGCTCTTGTGATGGTGACGCCTGTCCTCTAGCTATTGGCCAAAGAGCCAAAGGATGGTGACACTGTTTAGGAGGAAACATGGGCAAGAAAAAGGCTTGATGCAAAAATTTCTGAGTGACATTCCCTGCCCTGTGTTAACGCAAATGGTCAAATTTGAAGATCACTATGGCCTCTGGACAGAAAGTCTGTTGATCTGTGATGCTGTTTTACATAATTTTGAATTGCCCCAGACTTGCATCAAACCTCTCGGGATCATGGAAGCTGCATCAAACCTCTCGGGATCATGGAAGTGTTGCCACCAAAGGGACTCCGCAAAATTTGCCTCATGCTATACCTCATAGTGTAACACTGACAGGCAGAACCAAACCTGGATGTTCTGGAGCTTAGTGCCTGAACTCTAGTTATTTGTTCTCCCTTGTAAATAAAAAACATTTGTCATAAAAATAATCAAGGAAGGGAGCAAAACCACTTGTCAAGAAAGTGTCTGTGAAATGCATATGCTGGATATCTGAATAGTTTGATCCCAAAAGCTTTGCTGCTACGTGGCACTCCACAGTGTGCAGCTAGACATGGTGACCAGGGGTGGGAAGCCGAGACATAAAAGGAGTGTGTTGTCTTGGATGTATCCTCTAGGAAAGGTTTTTTTTTTTTTTTTTAAACTGCTGATTGGGGAAATCTTGTCCATTCCAAAAGCAAAATATTGGTTTTGTATGCTTGTTTTCTTAGGCCCAGGGATAAGTCAGCTCTGGCTAGGTGACTTCACAGAATCCAGGGAGGGATGAGTTCCATGAGAGGCAAGGAAATCTCTCCAAATTCTCCCTTTAACTTGGTGGCAAGTATTTAACAAAGGGCTCCTTCCAGCAAGCACATCACTGCTCTGGATACCGCTAAACTATTCCTGCCAGAGATGACTTACCCTTGGCTTTGGAATGGACCAGGCTAAAAAAGTGAAAGGCCTTTACCAAATGTTCCTAGAATAAGAAGACCACTCTCCTTCAAACTGATAAGTTAAATACTTTGCTACAGCTAAGTACATTGCTACAGCATAAACATTTTATAGGGACAACGTTTAAACATTTCCAGTGGCATCCACTTAGTATTATTACATTTGTTTGCCATGTGGTTCTGCCTCCCTCCTCCATTAGGGCTGTGAGAGAACTTTTCTTGAAATGGAAAAAATAAATGAATTGATTCCCTACAGTCTCACACCACAACTCTTAGGGTATGTCTAAACTACATGGATCCGTCGACGGAGCCATGTAGATTTGTTTGTTCGGCAAAGGGAAATGAAGCCGCAATTTAAATAATCATCCTACGAGGCATAACAGGGAGGTCGATAAAGGGCTTTCATGTCGGCACGGAAGCGTCCAGACTAGCGCGCTGAGCCGACAAACAGCTGATCAGCTGTATTTAAATTTAAATGAAGCCGCGATTATTTAAATCATGGCTTCATTTCCCTTTGCCAATCAGCCTAATCTACATGGCTCTATCAATGGAGCCATGTAGTTTAGACACACCCTTACAGTACATACACCCAGGAGTTATCGGGGCAAAAGGCTAGTGGAAAAACTGAGGGGAAGCCATGGCTAAAATACAAGCAGGACATCACTGCAACTGCCACTCTCATGTTCTGCCCCGAGTCACTCTAATATTATGCGCCATAGAGGATTGTGAGATGGGGTTAGTTTCACTTTAACTAGACGGATACAAATATAATTATTACTGTGTGCAGGAACCTTGTGCAGCGAAACTTGATCTAAAATCATCTTTGGCTTTCTAAAATCTGTTCGACTTTCTATCACTATGTTGTGTGGGCACTAGATGTTAGATGTTGAATTTTTTTAGCTTATCCCAGCACCAGATGGAACTGCACATGGAGCACACTTCTCCTCTAAATACTCTGATCTTTAGTTATTTAGCTTCACTCCCACACACTCCATTTTAGGAGAAAAGTAGCACATTCCTTTTTCAGTGTGGATGCTCCTTCCTCACTCTTTTATTCTGGCTGGCTATGTCTAGACTGCAAGCCTCTTTCGAAAGAGAGCGTCTAGACTGCACGTTGAACTTTCGAAAAAGCGGCTTGCTTTTTCGAAAGAAAGCATCCAGTGAGTCTGGATGCTCTCTTTCGAAGAAGCCCTATTTACATTGAAGAACGCCTTCTTTCGAAAGAGGAACTTTCGAAAGAAGGCGTTCTTCCTCGTGAAATGAGGTTTACCGCCATCGAAAGAAAAGCCGCGTTCTTTCGATTTAATTTCGAAAGAACGCGGCTGCAGTCTAGACGCAGGTGAGGTTTTTTCGAAAAAAGGCTACTTTTTTCGAAAAAACCCCTGAGTCTGGACACAGCCACTGTGATCATTCAATAGGATAACTACTGCTACTACTCCTTCTTTTAGCTTAGAGATTACCATTTTTATTCCATTAAATCATTTGGATCCTGCATTCTTAACTCCTTCTTTTACAAAATAAGGACTAATGTAATGTTGTAAGCACTCCGAAACCACGGTGATAAGTGCAGTAGAAATTCGTAGGCAGATAGATTAGATTAAAATATGAAAAATATTAAGGTATCATAAAAAGCAAAACAGGAAAGCCCCCACAAGCTTCAAGCTTGTTACAAACCTGTGCCCTGTTACAAGCAAAACTGGGGCGGTTAATGTTTTTCACTGAACTCCAATTTTGACATCATTTTCTTACAGAAGGTGGAACTTTTAACTGAGTTTGGAACTTCACTCAACTCTGAAATTGTTTGTATGTGAGAGGGAAAGGAAGGTGAGAGTACAGCTGAATCTCTTAGGAACTGAAAACAAAGAAGTTTTGCGCTCTTAACCAATGTTACTGAGTTTTCCATAACTCTGGTTACTACAGCAGTTGGAGTAGGCGTCAGTCAGAAGGCAGTAGAGCAGTTTGGGCCATAAAGTCACTGCGACTGTATGTTTTGAGTAGGAAGGGAGGCTGGGGAGGCTAACTAGGACATGGTAAACCCCTCTCCAGTTACACTCTTTTGTTACAAAGGCTCCTGAAAGGTCAAATTTTGCTTCCTCAGGCAAAACACAGTGAAGTCAAGACAAAGAGCTCTGGGAACCAATGCTGACTGTTGGGCCTTTTGAGATGATCAGCTACATGTGATCTTGCTGCAGAGGAAAAGGGAATTGTCCTGTGATAGGTGAGCGTTTCAGATTTGCATCTGAACAGATAATGTTCTTCCTCTCTTTGATAATGTGCAACATACTAGTAAAAATTGATTTTAATAATTTTCTCAATTATTCTTTCTTAAGACACTTAACATTGAGAAAAAGTGCATAATGTGTGCAACATAAGTGCAAGTTTGGAGACTTTTCTGATGCACATTTCTCTGTTTTAAGGTTTGATCTATATCCCGTTAAACCCAGACTCCCAGAGATCTCAGCATGAATTGGACGGTGGCTTTTTGTCTAGCGTATTGCAGGACCTGTTGACCCAAGTCTGCCCAAACAATTGGTTTCAGTTTTTGGTTGGTTGGTTGGTTGGTTGGTTGTTTTTAAGAAAAGCTTTAAAAAAAAATCCCTGGCAGGATTCAATTGGGTTGGTTGGTTGGTTGGTTGGTTTTAAGAAAAGCTTTAAAAAAAATCCCTGGCAGGATTCAATTTATCAAAACTTGCTCTCATAAACCAGGCAGCAATAATTTCATGGCATCAGAGGTGTGACATACAGGGAGAGTCTTGCTGTTCACAAGATAAAAAATGGCAGCTGCCCTGTGTACAACTATCGTGTTCCTATTTCTTTGTCTTCAAGATTAAAAACCTTTGAGATGAGGTTTAGAGGGTTTGTGGCAGAGCAGAATAAATACACACAAGAAGCAAATTAAAATTCCATAAATATATTTGCTGGCTAAAATTTATGCATTCTGTATTTCTAGGGTATCTAATTAGAACTATGAAGAAAATAGCCCTGGAAAGGATAGGCATTTTGTTCAAATAATTTTTAAAAACTGAGCTAAATAATGGCCATTTTATACTGCACACAGTGTAATTGTTCTCCTTGTACTGGGAAGTAGTTATAAATTATCTAGTATCCCATTCGGTTTTGTTGCCATGCAGAGTTCCAAACAATTGTGAATGTAGTTACTGGGCAAGTAAATTCACTGCTTTCTGACAGCTATACCGTTATTGCAGCTACTAACTAACCTTCTGCATAAAAAAAATGAAATCCCTATGAAAGAATGAGCATTTATCTAAGTGCTGACATTGAAACATTCTGAATAACTCTTTGAATCATTTGTACTATTATGGGTAGAAAATGTAATTATTGTAATCAGCCTTGAGTCTGAGGCCATGTTGTAAAAAAAAAAAAAAAGAAAGGAAAAAAAAACAAAAAACCCCACAGATCTGAACAACGAAAATGAACCTTGATAATGGAACAGCCTTGAATTCCACTTCATTTATCACACTAATGGATGTCAAGATGACCTCAATCAAACATTTTGTTTTCCAGTTTCCAGCAATGGAAAAGGCTTGCTTTTTTTCCCTGAAAAAAAAAGTTATTTAAATTTCTTTCTTTATAAAATGATCCTAGTAATTACATTAGAGTAGAAGGTCAAAGTCAATATGAAATACTATCCACCAACCCTTTGATGAGTCTAGCATAGGATCTTTACTAGCACAGTCTTACATATCTCAGTAATCCAAGTGACGTGCTTGTTTGTTTTTAAAAATATAAAGACTAGGAAGAAGGAAAAAACATCCCATTTCTTAGTAGTTTTTATATTCTTATTCTTGTTTTTATATTGTAATTTTTTGCCTCATATTTTAAATAAAAAAATTGGCTATCAGACATACCTGGGTTTCTCAGATCATAGCCATGAGAAAACCATCAAAATCATAAACCAGCTAGAGCCTTCATAATACAAATACCCTACTGAGAGAATTATTATACTGACTTCCACCATTAGCCTGAACTGCCCTGATGGCAAAAGCAATCATATTGACTCCGACCACTGAGCTGTACCACCAAGACAGACAAGGTGCCTAGACTAACTCTGGCTATTAGGCCAACCTTCCCTAAGGACAAGGGTGACCACATTGACTCTATTAGGTCATAGTCAGATGCCCTGATGACAAGGGAAACCACAGTAACTCTGGTCATTGGGCCATACTGCCCTGAGGGCTAAGGGTAGGCTGGTGGCCTTAACCGCAGGGCTGCGATGCCCTTGCTTCACCCCCAGGGCAATGGGATATCCTTGCTCTATGACTCTGCAATTTCATCTAATCAAAACCCAACAACAACCCACTGAACAAAGAAGCAAAGAACCTTTGTAAGCACTGGTTAGGCTGGGAGCAACCACTAACTGCTGAGACTATGAACATTCAGTTATGCAACACACCTAGCTTGTGTTCCTGGCCCCCAACTCCATTAGACTGCTTGCTTATCCACCTGTAGGAACTGTGCTCCTAACTTCCTTATGCTGTTTTGAAAGCCCCAGCCATAATTGCTACCACAAAGGGGCTTAATCTCTCTCTGTTGTCTTTTTGTACAGGATCAATCATAATATTATCTGAAGAAATGTAGTAAGAATCTTAGCATTGTTCTCCCAAACATTCACAAAAATTAGTCAGGCCTCAAATAAATTATGAGATTGGCTTATAATAAGAATATATTTTGAGCTCTGTACTTGCTATCTATCTTTTGAGCCTTTAGCTTACTCTTGATTATGTTTTCAAGATTGTCTCCATACCCATGGATATACCTCTAGGATCTGAGGCTAATCTCAGGAGACTCCCCATAATCATTAGAGACATGCAACATGGAATCCATCCTTTCTGCTTGAGCCTGTGAAAGAACAGTTTTGCTTTTAATATTTAAAAAATAACAAATGAGGCTTTAAAACAAATTAGAGACAAGATGCATGTGTGCATCTTTGTACTGCACATTTCTAAATGCATGTTGGTGGTTTGACACACAAAAAATTACTCCTCCCCCAATTCCTTCCTGATACGCAGGACCCAATTTTCAACCAACATGCAAATTCCACATTTGGGTAGCCAGATCAGCGCTTAGGCCAGAGGTGGGCAATAATTTTTAATGGGGGCCACTCCAAGATTTAGGGAAGTGGTCAAGGGCTACACTTCTGTGGAAGAGGTGTGGGATCTGGCACGGTGGACAAGGTGTAGAAGGGATCTTGGGATAGAGGACTGGGGTGCAGGCGGGAGTGTGGGGTCTGAGAGGGAGTTTGGGTGAAGAAGGGGGTTATGATCTGGGGCGGGGTTTGGGGTGCAGATTCCAGGAGGAGTTATGGGTGCAGGAGAGTATTCTGGCCTGGGGGAAGGATGCAGAATGGGGTGCAGAGTCTGTGAGGGAGGTGTGACTTGGGAGAAGGGGAGAAGGAAATGCAGAGGGTTTGGGTGGTGACATGGGACAGGAAAATGGAGTGCAGGGTCAGGGAGGGGGGTGGGTACAGGAGAGGATTCCGGCCTGGAGACCAGGGCGCTATTTTGGGAGGGTAGGGGAGACAGCTGCCGTGCATTCCAGGATGCAGCTTACTTTTCATCCTGTTCCCTGGAGCGCACGGTTGCTGCTCCCCCAACCCTCCTGAAAGAGTGCCCTTGCCTGGAGGAGGGTGTAGGAAGGACTGCAGGATCTGAGAGGGAGTTACCTGGAGGTGGAAGAGGGGATAGAGAAGGTTTGGGTGATGGCCTGGGGTAGGCAGTAGGGGGAAACAGTAGAGAAGGTTTGGGTGATGGCCTGGGGTAGGCAGTTGGGGGGAAACAGGGTTCTGGCTGGGACATGCTTACCTAGGCTGCTCCCAGTCAGCAGCTCTGCAGAAACCCAAGACAGGCCCAAGCCTGTGTGCTAGGTGGGCTGCTCCATGTGCTCTGCTCCAGCACAGGGAGGGAGGGGGAAGAGGAGAATAAGGAGGCTTCATTTGCTGCCCTTGCCTTCAACAAAATTTCTCAGCTTCTATTGGCCAGAAACTGGCCAATGGGAGCTGAGGGATTTTGCTAGGGGGCAGGGATATCACTTAAAGCTTTCTGCTCCCTGCCCAGACTACACAGCAATTAGCAGCTGCAGGTGCTCTGTAATAAGCGTGCTGGCAAGGGGGATGCAGGCTGGATCTGGCCCACTAGCTGCCTCTTGCCCACTCCTGACTTAGGCACATTAGTGCTTGTTTTAATGGAACTTGAGTGCTCTGTCTAATCACACAGTTGGGCCTTGTATTTTCCATTCCCCACTGCAATCATTTTTAACATTTTTTCATATTCTTTCACTCTTCCTTATAAAGTTCCACTAAACTTTATATCCTCCTTAGTATATCTTGATTGCTGATTTTAGTAGATGCTTTATTTAAGTCACACAAACTGGCTATTTAGAAATAAAATTTAATTTGGCAAAGTTTGCGTTAATGCAGACTTCATGCATGCCTTTTGGAACACTACTTACATCCCATGGATGATCCTGTACAACAGATTGTTGAGTTAAAAGTAATCACTGCAAGCCTCCAAAAGAGAATATTAATAGAAATCATGAGAAATAGCTCAGAAGGTGGTGTGGAAGCTTAACTCTCCTTACCAGTACCTCAGGTTTTAGAGAAATGTTAGGGCTTTTAGTCTGTGAACCAGTGGAAATTGAGAGCATGTTGACACTATGGCCTGTTCTACACTACCTTGGATTACTTCAAGCCAAGCCACCACAATATTTACACAGTGGGAGGCCGCTGGGAGCAACACACGCCAGTTGGCTTCCCTTACTCCTCACAGAATGAGGAGTACAGAGCACTGGTGGGGCTGCTCTCAAAGCTCCATTTGGGGGTCTACACTAGACCCACTAAAACAGTGGTCCCCAGCTTTTTTGTGGCTAACAATTTTTCAAGGCTTATTTTATATTTGTACATTAAATAATACGAAAACATCATATTTAATATATGAATCCATAAGATAAAAAAGGTAATTTTACATATAAAAGGTATTAATTAAATTATTCGGCAATTACTCTTTCACCTTACCCGCATTGGGGACCACGGCACTAAATGGAATGCTAGACGATCAACTTCCACAGGGTCAATCTTCTCCTTAGTGTAGACATGCCTCACGGGTGCTACAATGGTTTAGCTCTGGGGCTGCAGCCATGCTGCTATAGCACTTCAGTGTTTTTTCCATTGCTGTAGATAATCCACCCCTCTTAGTAGTGATAGCTAGATCAGTGGAAGAATTCTTCCACCTAGCCATGTCTACATTGAGGATTAGGTCATCTTAACTAGAGCTGCGCGTCCCAGATTTTCTGAGACTGTCCCGAATTTAAAAACTATGTCCTGCTGTTCTCATCAAATACTAAAATGTCCCGAAAAGCATCCAGCTTGCAGAGAAGCAGCAAGCTAGAAATAACTCAGTGTACCACCATTTCCCTTCCCTTGGCTGGCATAGCTTACAGACACTCACCCCCTAGCACAATGTAGCAGCAACGGTCTCCCCCTTCCACCCACCCATCCAGCCAGGCACCCACCCCCACAAACAGAGCATGTAGCTGGCTCCCTGCCTGAGCTCTTTGCCAGCGGGCAGCTGGGGCAGTTTCTGGTGGTGCGTGGTCCAGAGCATTCCCCGCGTTGCAATGCACTGCCCTGCAAGCCCCCGCCACCTCCTGCCCCACCACAGTGCACCGCATGGCCCTCTTCCTCCCCTGCCGTCATGCAGGGCAGCCTCCTCCTCCATACTTGCAGGCAGCAGCTTGTTCTTTGTAACAGTGGCTGCTGCTGCTGGGCATAGGAGGGGAGCTGCTGGGTCCAAGGCAAAATGCACCAAGGCACCTCTCTCGGATCTTGGCACCTTGCAGCTGCTGCCTGAGTCCTGGCAGGGGCCATGCGGAGCCTGGCTGAGGCGCTCTCGGGCTCAGCAGGTGCGCTCTGTTCACTGCCGCTCTTTCTCTCCCACAACTTCCACAGGGTCAGGGGGAACGGCAGTGCATGGAGCTACTCGCTCTGCCACTGTACGCTTCCAGCGGGGTCTGGTGGGGTCGGTGCTTTCTTGTCCTTTCCTCCCCCTCCCGTGGACCCTCAGAGCAGGAAGCCGGTGGTGGTGCTGCATCCTTGCAGCTGTGTGGCTCCTTGCTGCATGGGGAGGGCTGAGCTCCTTTCAGCTCCCCACCCTGCTGGGGGAATGGCTTCATGTTGTCCAGTAGCTTGCCCTGCTGCAAGGCACACAAACCCAGTTAAGCATTCCCCCTCATGCCCAGAGCCCCACACCCCCCTACCCTCACTCACTCTCCTCCCCTCCCCCACCAAGACCTAGCACTCCCTGCTTGCTCCTACACCTTCCATTGCTTCTGCACCCTCCCTCCTGGTGAGACACCCTCTCTCCTAGCCAGACACCATAGCTCTTGCATCCACCATTGCTCCTGCACCCTCCCTCCTGGCCACACACTGCAACCTCCCTTGTTCCTGCAAGACACTCAGTTCCCAGCCTGCTGCTACACCCTACCTCCCACCCAGACCTTTCAACCTCTCCCCCTTGCACCTCATTGCCCTCCCTGATCCTGCACCCCATCCCTATCCCACTCATTGGCAACCCTGTCCTGCACACTTAATCCCTCATTTTTGTCCTCACCCCTGAGTCTAAGGGGATCCATAAAATCCACTAACTCTGGAACCCCAAAAGAGTAAATCTGACCTATGGGAGGCCTTGAACTCAGTCATCCCTCTCCCTTCCCCTCACCCCGTGGATCTGGAGTGCCAAAGGAGTGAGGTGTCTCAGTTGGGGACCACATAAGTGAGGGTCGGGGGGGAGGTTTGGAGGAGTTTTTTTGCATCTCACTTGTGTGATCCCCAGCTGATTTTTCTGTGCGTCATTAGCCCCCAACCCAAAAAAGGTTCCCCACCAGATAAATAAATAAAACACTGAAAACTTTTGTGTTGGACACAAATTAATATTTTACTTTATTTAAAATGAAGTTTGATAAACTAACATGAGAAACACTTAATCTGTTAATAATTTAAATTAAACTGTTCTCTCTAGCTGCAGCACTAGCAAAATGGCTCGGGTGTAATTAATGGTGAATTCCATTAGCAACTGGTGGAACCCACAGAGAGATTGGGTCTGTTACCATGGCAGTGAAATTACTGCGTCACTCCAGTGTGGATGATGGACAAACTCTTTGTGAGTCTTCCTCATCCACGCAGTTGAGATTTAAACAGCGTATTAAAATGCCACGTGAAAACACTTGGTACATCCACAGAGAGGCAGGATGTATTGTTTCTCTTCAGAGAGGGTTGTTGTGACTTGTGTGTCTGGGTAAACAAGCCCTTTGTGAAGTCTGGGAAGCGGTGAGATGTTTTGACTTTCAGTTTCAAGGGATTTGTTCTTCTGTCTTTGGGCTGCAGGTTGCCTAGACCTGAATGGAGTTAGCTGTGACAAGGCATTTCTGAGTTATTCTGACACACAAAGTGAAACCTGTGCTAAAGACCCCATATCCAGTGAGAGAAAGCGCTGGTGTCAGAAGTCAGTTCAAAGTCTCCAATTTTCTTCAATGATCACCTCTACCAGGCAGAGGGGCTTTTTACTGATTGGTCCCTTATGTTTTTGAAGGGTGACTAAATGTTAACTGGATCTTTTTGGGTAATGTCAACAGATTGCTTTGGGCCCAGTCTTAACTTAAAATTTAAATTGGATCAGGTGCTTTGTAAGCAGGTTGGGAAGTGAACTCATTTGGCAATTGTTATTAGGTATTATTTACATAATATAGGCATTGCCATCATGGTATTGACATATACACTTCATACATATAAAAGCTTTACATATAAAATAGCCCAGCTCCATTGACCTCCATGGGCAATGTACTTTTCAAGCAGTGGTGGGGAGGGTTAGTGACATGGTCTTCTCCACCCTATAATTGTCATGGTTAGTTCAGTATTGTCATTCTGGCTTGTGGAAACAGAGGACACTTGATAGTTTTGCAGTAACTTCAAAAAATGCAGTTGCAGTCCATCTCATTAGGGATGTAAATTCCCATTCATCAGTTAACCAGTTAATGTTGGGTCACACTGGGGTTGCCACCAGCTTCCAGCCCCCTCTGGAGTAGCCCCTGTCCACAGCAAGCTGGACTCCTCATGGAAAGAGACTGCTCCGGACACTGGTGCAGTTCCTTCCCACAGGACCCCTGGGTTCCCAACAGACAGAGTCTGTTCCAGACAAGAGCAACCCCTGTCTTCAGCAGGCCCTCCACGGGGCTGGAGCAACCTCCTGTCCACAGCAGGTGGGGAGATGCTTCAGATCCCTCTGATTACCAATTAATTGGAACCAGTAAGCATCATCTGTTAAGAAAACTAAGGAAGTTGTCCCATGAAATAGTTCTGGATGGCTCCCAGGCCCTGAGTCAAATGGGGCTACATCTACGCTACAAGGTAATAGGTCTCAGATCCTGTATCTCATCTTGAATTGAGGTTGGACCCCTAGAGCTGGGATGTCATGGGACCCTAGGTCTGGGGCCTGGGTTAATGCAATTGCAGTATAGTTGTATGGGGGGGCTCCTATCGTGCCTAAATCCATCTGGTATTGGTATTGGTATTGGTAGAGGATCATGGAAGGAGTTTGTAGGGGGTCCAGTCATGTGTCCATTTTGACCCCGGAAGTACTACCTCTAGGGGTGGGACTTCATGTGGCAGGTGGGCATGTCCTAAAGGGCCAGGCACATGGTTAGTGGTGTCAGGAGTGGGACCTAAGAGATCAGGGGGAGTGGCTAGCGGTTTCAGGGGGCGTGGCTAATGTGTTCCCAGTTTTGGTTCAAAAAATATAGTCACCTTCACTATAGCACTGAGGGGCATGATTTTTTTCACACCACTGAGGGATGTAGCTAGATTGCACCAAATTTTAAGTGTGGAACAGAGCAGAATGTATCTGAGGAAAAAAAGTC